AGGAGTGAGCTAACAGTGGAAATCAGCTTCTTACTATCTTTTTGGTAAGATAATAATGCAAAGTCTGACCCCTAGGCCTGCCTGTGCCCCCACACACACACACTCACACACTCACACACACACACACTCACACACATACTCACACACTCACACACACTCTCTCACACGCACACACACACCTCATACCTGCCTGCACGTATGCATTTCCCATCACTACCTCCACCCACCCACCCCCAAATGACTGTATTGCAAGTGCACATGGAAAATGTTTAGGAATGAGACCACCAAGCAGAACTTAAAAAGGAAAAGATGAAACGTGGTTTTGGTTGAGGAGGAATGATACCTGGGATTTGGAGGCAATAAGCTCCCTGTGGGATTTAAAATAGATCAAAGACGGGGCTATTTTCGTCTTTATGGGGAAGGAAGCATTCAGGGGTGACCGTGCTGACTTTTTGCCCAGAACACTTACTAAGGGCAAAGAGACATCCCGGCGCTGCTTCCTGTTGTCTGAGCTGGTGACCCCAACCAGGCAGGGTCTGTCCAAAGAAGCTTCTTTCAAGGACCGCAACTAACATACCACTCTCCTAATCGGAGCTGCTGCTTCGCACAGAGTGCCAACCTCAGGTGAAACATGGAACCAAAGATTGAATACACATTGTTTACTTAATCTGTACAAAAGCTGCCAGGTCAATATTATTATGCCCACTTTATGGATAAGACCACTGAGGCAGAGGGTGGATTAACAATGTGCCCATACCCGAATGGCTAGTAAGAGGCCAGGCTGGACTGTGCAGTCAGGTGCCAGCCCCTTTCCCTTGTCTGACTGCCTCCCAATCCCCTTTCATCTGAAAGGGTTGGGAGGGGTGTGGAGGGGTGGCCGACATTCCTCAGAGGAGGTGGAAAACATTCCCTGAGCTGAGGTCACAGCTCTGCCTTCAAGTCTTGCTCCTCTTTCAAGCCCAGTCACTCTGGAGGTTTCCTCTCTACTCTGGGCTGACCTGGCATTTCTACGGCGATCTCTTTTATTAGTTCCTGAAGGGTGTGGCCTGGGTCTGGTGGTTTGATCTCGCTCCAAATTAGAACTATGGTCAATGGCAGTCCCATTTTCTGGTGGACGCAGTCCTCACCAATGCCATGGGCAGTGACATCATATTTATGTCTGATTTGCCTAGCTATGCAATCCTTTGTTTTAAAGAGTTCTCCTTTAGTGTAATCTAGAATCCTAGACCCTAATGGTAGAGCTTTTGTTGGGGGGACGGGAGGGTTGTCTTTAGATGGGGGTTGTTTATGTGTTTATTGACCAAATATACTCTGATTTACGTGAAAGGCGTGTATTTCATCCCTTCCATTCTGGCATCTCCACATCCCTGGCAGTGAAGTTAGAATCAGGAATCAGGAGCTCCTGAACGCCCGGGCTCCACCTCCGTCTTTATAGACCCTCGTGTTCCCCAGGGAAGGGGTTCAAGGGAATTCTTGGATCCAGAATCAGGGACCACGGCTTCGAGTTCCAGCTCTGTGCCACCTGCAAGTGTCTGACTTGGGGCAAGTCATGCTGCTTCTCTCTGGGCCTCGGTTTCCCACCTTTGAGAAACATACGGGATGAGGGACATACTGTGTGAAAATGCTTCGTTAAGACCAGCGGCTGCAGGAGAATCTCCCCGAGGGCTCGAAAAACACAACTCTCTGGGACCACCCAGAGTCGGGTCCAAGGGAGCCTGAGAATCTGCATTTCCAACAGGCCCCAAGTCGCTGATGCTGCTGGTCCAGGGTCCATGCATAGCGAGCGTCTGGCTAAGAGCAAAGGGACACACGGTGAGTGGTGCATTATCGTGACAGAGGGCAGGGTGCACACCAAAGGGAAGCTGCTCCCTTGGCCACCACCCCCACTTTAGGGCAGTGTTTCCTAACCTCACATAAGCATCGTCTGTGGTGCTTGTGCAAAAACAAAACAAAACAGATTCTCTGGCCCTGACCCAGCCTTACCAAATCCGAAGCTCCAAGGGGGAGGCCTGGTCATGTGTATTGGAACAAGCCTCCTGGCCAGTCTGATCATCAAGATGGTGGGGAAACACTGTAGCCTAACCACTAGTTCCAGATGGCAAAGATTTTCTGTGAAAGCAAACGGTCCGTGTCCCCTCCAAGTGGGGATGTGGTAATAAGTGACAGCCTCTTTTCCACAAGGAAGAGGCATCCCCCAGCCTCCTAGCAAACACCTCGTAAGGCCTGCAAGGCCGACCTCAGGGTTGTCCGACAGCATCAGGACAAGTGTCGGAGAAGGAAGGGGACCTGAGCGGACTTCAGTGTGGTCCTCAAGCCCGGCACCAGGAGAAGCCTGCCCGAAGCAACGCACTCATTCACTTTTACACAGGCTCCCGTGTCCCATCTCTGGCCCCCAGAGATCCCCACACCACGGAACCAATAGCACAGCTGGAAGCAATAGTCCCCATCCTGGCTGCACATCAGACTCGCCCTCCCCGGTGTGTGTGGCTGCACGTGGCCCCAGACCGATTAAACCAGACACATAAGAGGGGACACAGCATCACAGTGTACAATGTCCTGCAGGTGATCACGTCTACAGCTGGCCCTGCGCTAAACGGAAGAGGCAACACGGTTGACACCCGGCAGCTGCTCACCTGCCCAGGCCCTCGCCCTTGGTCACCCAGCATGCTCATCCATCTACGAACCATATGGCATGTTCAATATGAAGACCCTCGTTTCAAATAAAACCTCATTAAGGGGCGTCTGCAGGCTTCTTTAAAAACTGATATTTTTGAAACGATGCTCAACATCACTAATCACTAGGGAAATGCAAATCCAAAGCGCAATGAGATACCACCTCATACCCATGAGGATGGCTACCCTAAACATTTTTCTAAAAGGAAGAAAAGAACACGTGTTGGTGAGACTGTGGGGAAACTGGAGCCCTTGTCCGCTGTTGGTGGGAATGTTGAGTGATGCAGCCGCTATGAAAAACCACATGGCAGCTCCTCAAAAAGCTATAAACACAACTACCCATAGGTTCCGGCAATCCCACTTCCGGGTATACACCCAGAAGAAATGGAAACAAGATCTTGAACAGATATCTGCACACCCATGTTCATAGCAGCACCATTGTAATAGCCAAAAGGTGGAAACAACCCAAGTGTCAGTGAATGGATGAATGGATACACAAAATATGATATATACACACAATGGAATATCATTCAGTCTTAAAGAGGAAGGAAATCCTGACACATGCTACAACATGGAAGAAGCTCGAGGACGTTATGTTAAGTTCAATAAGCCAGTCACAAAAAGAGAAATACTGCATGATTCCACTTATCTGAGGTGCCTAGAGTAGTCACATTCATAGAGACAGAAAGTGGAATGGTGGGTTCCAGGGTCAATGGAGGGAGGATGGGGAGTTCATGTTTCACAGGGACAGAGTTCCAGTTTGGGATGCTGTAAAAGTGCTGGAGATGGATGGTGGGCATGGTTGCCCAAGAGTATGAACATACTTAATGCCACAGAATTGTACACTTAAAAAATGCTTAAGATGATAAATTTTATATTAAATGTTTTTAACCACAGTTTGGTGTTTTTTTTTTAATTTAAAAAAACCCTGAAATTTAGTGGAAGTGACTAGGGTCTCCTCCATGGTAAGGTGGCTTTTATTTGAACCAAGTGCAAAAGTCAGGACTAATGCTAAGGGGAACGCAGCATGCATGTGTCAGTTTTCAAAACACCTCCTACCAAAGACACCAGAGAACCTGGAGGACATTCCACCCTCTTCCCAAACACAGAAACAATCCGCTAGGGAAAAACTAACTGTAAATGAAGAAAGTTGGTTGCAGAAAGTCGCCTATCAATGCCCGGGTCACGTTTGCAATTGTGTTTTGCTCACTGACCCCTTGATGCTTTCATTCATTCATTTCTTCTTTCGCTGTGCAGACAATTGCCAGGCACTGGGGCAGGAAGAAGCAAGAGGAGCCCAGAGCGTAGGCTCTACCTTGGCGAGCGCACGGCCCAGAGGTCCTTTTGGGGAGAAGTGGCCCAGTGTGGGGGAAGAAGGAGGATGACAAGTGAGGGAGAACCAGACAGAGGAGAGGCCTCAGAAGCTCTCACGGGCTGCTTCGGAGCAGTTGGAGGAAGCTCCCTTTGGGGGCCTTGTCCAGCGACAAGGTTTCCAGGCAGCCTGAGGCTGTGTCTGGTGCCCTCTGAAGCCCCTGGCCCACAGGAGGGACCCAGCAAATGTTGGCCTGTGACATGTCAGGGCAGGACCTGTGTTATGAGAAGTACCAAAGTGCCACCCAAGCTGGGCCTGGGAATGAGTTTAAAAAGCAGGCCAGGCTGCCCATGCCTCTTGGACTGCGTGGGGAGTGAGAGGGGAGAGAGACATGGGAGAGCCCGGCCCTGCCCACCGCCGCGTGCTGGGAGGCCCCGCTACTCATCCGAGACATTTTGGAGGAGCAGCCCCTCTGCAAGCCTATCGTGTTCCTAAGCCAGCGATGGATTGTTTTCATTTCATTCAGAATAGCAAGACTAAACTGGATCCAATTTCTGATCAGTGTCATTTCTCAGGCTTGCTCAGAAAAGACAAAATCCATTAAACTGCCCCCCTACTCCCCTATGAGAGGCACTGAGCTCCCCGTGGCAGCGAGATGGGAGCTCTTGAGGGTAAAGACTCATTTTCTGTGGATCAGTGGCTGGCTTATTGTAGGTGCTTAATAAATATTCAATCATAACAATCTTAATTACTGGATTACATCATGTCTGTCTTAGGGTGGGATATAAATAAATAATGCCATAATAATAATGAGGCTCTAACGGAGGGCTGCTCAGTTTGAGTTCCCACTACTTCACAGGCGGTTTTAATAAATTTGGGTGGATTTCATATTTCATGAAGATGTATCTGCTCGCAGCAGGTAAATGCTTCTGAAGATAAGCCTTATTTAGTATTGATGCCAGCAGAACACGTCCTGGTTTATATCATGTTCAAGGTTTAATTCAACTCAACATGGCTCCCAGTTCTCCAAGTGTTTGATGGTGTCCAGTGGCCAGGAGGGTGGCAGGGCTGGGTGTTCAGGGTCCGGCCCCCATGGCTGGCTTTAGGGAAGACATTGAGACAGGCTGTTGTGATCAGCTATCGCTCTCCAACACCGCCTAGACTATCCCCCCCTTAGAAAGCAGTTGCAAACACAAAAGTCTTCATCCTGACAGGTTATGTAAATGAGTGAAGTTCTCTGATGGCTAGCAGGAGGGTGCATGCCCTACCTGAAGGGGCAGCCCCAGCCCCTCCCCCCATGCACGAATGCCACCCAGTGGTGCCCAATCTTCCATTAAATAGAGCCAGACTCTCCTGGTCTTTAAATGCTACTAACGAATCTAAATTATTTCAAAACAAAACCCTCCTTCAGCTTTCTGGGCCACATCTGGCCATGGGCTGCTTTAGGCGAATCTGGGGCTTGGAGCTAAGAGCCAGGGATATGTAAGCAAATGTATGGGCTGGTCCCTCCACGAAGGCCAGGAAAGAGCCCAAAAGCCCCTACCCTAACTGGTGGGCACCTGAGGTCTGCACTCGCTCCGTTATCTGCTGGACTCTCCTAGTGACTTCCATAAATCCCCAAGACCCTGCCCCCTCTGCTGGAAAGTGAAGGGTGACAAGGTTGCTGAGCCTTCTTCAGAGGGCTGTGCTAAGAACCAATGTCCCATAAAGTGATGGGGAACCCTCTGCACATCAGACAGCACCATCCGTGCCAACAGAATGGTGACTAGTGGATGTCCAGGAAGCTCTGCGAAATCTCCCTGAAGTCTGGCCTCTGGAAGCCTCTGGAAGCTTCTGGAAGCAGGGCTCGTCTTGGGGAGTTGGGATTTGCATGTCCCAGATAGCGAAGCTGGAGGGGAAATGGTGACCTGCAAAGCTACTCACCTAAGAGTGCGGACTGGCTCTATCCCCACCTTGAAAGTCGCTTGAGCCAGTCCCTGTCCCACTGTGCTGTCCGCTTCCTGCTCTGTGCCCTAAAACTGGACAGGAGAGTGCAAATGAACCTCCCCTGGTGGAGTTGAGGTGCCCAGAGGGGGTCTTGGCATCTTCTGTTCCCCAACAGGAAACTAGACTAAAGGTACATGAGCCGGGCAGCCCAGCTGTGGTTGTGAGCAACCTCCACCTGTTTCCCGGGACCCTCTGCGGCAAAGGCAATGCCTTAGGGACTTTGGGATCTGCAAGGGTCCAAGAAGCAGTATTTGCCCTAGACACGGTCATCACATCACAGCACTGGCCACAGGCGAGTGACCTCCCCAGCCCTTGGGAGAAAGTAGACAGCCACGGGCTTTCTAGAGAAACTCCTCCTGCACTGGGGTATTTTTAGCCCCACCATCCCATATAGCCATTCCAGCGGTGTTAACGTCATGGGTGAAATTAGCCACTCACCTTTGTCAGGACAAGGTGTCTCCAGCAGGGTGAGCGGGGTGGGGGAACTGAAAGCGCCCCACCAAAACTCTGCACTCAGGTTTCCTGCAAGCTGATCCAACTATAATCTCTGGTCAAAAGTAGGAATTAGGTTTTCTTCACCCTGCTACAAATCATCTCAGTGAAAAATGCATCATCATTATTTTTACAAAGGAAAAATCAACACACACATATTTTGTTTATAAAACAGTATCTGTTGGTTTTAGGTATCTTTTTACCTAATGCTTAGTGATATGTTACTGGAGAACTTTTCTTTACATAAATCCATTGTTACAGGGTTTTTTCTTTCCGTGAATATACACATTTTTACTTGGTTATTTAATAATCTACTATAAATATGCTCTTCTATTTTAAGTTTTTAATTTTTAAGCATAACCTTAGCCAAGCAAACTCTAAAATTGGATATTTAATTGTTTCTGATGTTTTGTGCACCTGCCAACATTTGTAGGGACATTGGCCTCCTTGAAGCCATTTAATATCAAATAACCCTAAGTGAGGTTACCAGACAGACTGGAGTCTACGGGATGGGCCGGGCAGACCCAGGTGCCACCTCCTCTGCCACGCGACCCGAGGGACAGTCTCAGATCTCACCCTGGCTCTTGCAGAGCCACCTGACCCCCGAGTTCTCCGACTCCCTGCTGCGTCTCCTTCCCCGGAGCTCCCACCTGCCCCTCAGCTCACCCTGCCTCTCTCCTTCTCTCCTCCCTGCCCCAGGGAATTTTCTGGGTTTTTTTTTTTATTGTGGAACTTGCCAAATGTATACAAAAGTTCAGAAGATAGTATAGCAAATGCTCAAGGACAAAAATCCTGTTTCATGTACTCCAACCCGTGTCCCCATATACTACATGACTTAGAAGTAAGTCCCAGAGATCATCTCATTTCATTCATAAATATGAGTGTAAGTCTTGCTAAATAATAAAGCTTCTTTCTTTAACATACCATTACCATGCCTAAAAACAGGAGCCATGATCAAATACCCAGGCAGTACTCAAATTTTTCAAGTGGTCTTATAAACGTTTGCTATGTTTTTTGGAATCAGGATCCAAAAAGAGTCTATAGGTGGTGTTTAATTGATGTGTCTTCTTTAGTGTCTTTTAATCAAGTGATCCCACCTGCCTCAATTTCAGTGGTTAATGTGTAAAAGAAATCTGTCACTTGTCCCGTAGGATTGTCCACACCCCAATTTTGCCCCTTGCTTCCTCACGGTGTCATTTCATGATTTCTCTGTCCCTGTTATTCTTTTAATCTGGTAGTGAAATCCAGGGTTAGGGACTTGTTCTGATTTAGGCTTGGTTTTTTTGGCAAGAATACTTCATGAGCAGTATGTATTTTCATAAGGGGCCCCTGGGTGATTGTCATCCTGACTCACTGTTTCCTCCGGGGGTTTGAAACTGATAATATTCTAGTTCTACCCTTCCTTCTTTACTAGAGAAACTTTTCTTCATCCATCACTTGGCTCCTTGAACTGTTTTGTACAGTTCACACAGGAAAGTCAAGTGAGGTACTCAACCCTGTTCCCCTTTTCAAAAGAAAGAAGCTGCTCCCTACATCTGCCCAGGGGGCCACAGAACTGTGGCTTGAGTTGTTATTTTTTTCAGGATCTTCATGAACTCGTGGGCTCAAGAAGATTCAGTGTGTCTCAGGGCGTGTGGTGTTTTCTTACTGACAAACACACTGTATCATCCTACCTTTTGCTGGTGGGAACCTCTTCAGATTGGCCCCTGTTCTTTTGATATCTTCCCAGGGGGTTTCCTTAGCCTGCCTGCCTTTCGTGTGACAAGGGGTTCCAGACTCTTTCTTATACATGTTCTGCTCCAGCTCAGGGAATGGTTGTTCTTTTTAATGAGAAATCATGTTTAGAGACAAAAATCTTTGTCCAAAGGAGATTCATTGCTGTTAGTTATTCTGTTGGTTATTATGTTAGTTATTGCTTTTTTATTGGGAAATGCTTTTTTTCTCTTTTTTAAAAGAAAGTATATTTTGTTATGCTTTCTCTTTATATTGATTTTACACTTGGATTTTTTATGTTTGATTTATATGATCTCTTTACTTTATATTGATATTCAATATAAATATACAACTACTGGGTTTTACTTACCATTTGGGTTTTATATTTGCATCTGTTGTCTCTAACACTAAAAAAAAAAACCACTTTGCTCTCTAATGACATTAACATCCTTACTCATTTGCTTTATCTCTATCTATCTATCTATATTTCTGAGAACAGTGTAAGATTTTACTTGACAGTTAATTTTGTGTGAGGCTATATCCTGACCGCGGATGTTAAGTCAACTTAATGTATTTTCAAATCATTTGAAATAACTTCCCCTCTGTGAAAGTATGCCCCCTACACATTAAATTCATTTGTTTCATTTTGCTCTAATTTTTAGGGACTGCCTTTTTCAAAGTTTTGGTTTAATCTAGCTTTATAAACTGGCAGGTACTTACATAGCTCCACATCAAATCTACCAAACAAAGTAGACTCAGGGAAGCCCAGCTCCTCTTCCCATCCCCAAACACACATGTGCCTTCCCTTCCCCACAGGTAACCATTTTGGGATTTTATTTATTCTATTGTTTTCCTTTAATATAAGTAAATATATATAAATACCCACATACTTGGACCCTCTTCTTTTTAAGTAAATGGTAGCATATGATCCCGAGAGTCTCCCCCTTGCCCTGAGAATGACGGAGAGATGCTCTTCATCGCTTTCTACAGCTGCGCGGTGCTCCACCGTGAGGCGGAGCCCGGCTCGTGGTCCTCCCCGAGCCCCCGGGTTTCTCAATCACTGCCAGCCTGCTGCAGATCTCCTACCCACCCCCGATCCAGCCCAGGTGATCAGAATTCCACCACGCGAGCTTCCTCAGCCTGTCGTGCCCTCGGTGAGCAGCGACCTGTCCTCTCGTTTACCATTTGCAACAGTCATGTGAAGGAATGACCAAACTGAAATTTAGAGAAGTCAGATCACATGCCAGAGGTCACACAGCTGGTCTTGGTAGACCTGGGAATAGAACCTGTACCTCTCTGAGGCCAAAATCCACAATCTTAGCCACTCAGCCACAGAGACTCTCCTGGCCGTGCCTCCCAAAGTTCTGTCAAGTTCTGCCAAGCATCAGGAAGGTTACAAGTGGAAAGAGGTGGCTGGATTCCCCTGGCACCTGTGACCCACATCCAAAGGCCTTTAGGAGGTGAGACCGCAGGACAGGTGGGAGCCTACAGAGGCTGAGGGCCGGAACTCCTGATTTCAAGCCCCAGCCTCGTCTTCTGTTTAACTCGTGTCTCAGCTCTCTTACCTGTAGATCTACGTCGGAGACGCAGGGAGGATAAAGCTTCACCTTGAGTGGGAAGCCACTGGGAAGCAGCAGCTCCCAGACAGCCACCTGTTGCAACAGTGGCATGGGCCTGGCTTGGCCAGTAGCAGCATCTTCTTCTCCGGGGGTGGTCCTTGGGCCAGCAGGGTGAGCACCACCTGGGAACTTGTTAGAGATACACACTCTGAGGGAGGGCCACGGCAATCCATGTTTTCACCAGCCCTCCAGCTGACTTGGGAACCACCGCCCCGAGATAAAGCCAACACTGAGTTCGTAATGGCGGGGGGGAGATGCAAGGCCGTAAGGAGCCCCCCTCACCCCCAGTGCTTTCCCATTCACCCACCATCACCCATTAGGGGGTGACAAGAAGGCAGACAAAATAAAAGTCCTCTTGGAGCTTGCATTCTGGAGAGGGCATCCACAGAGCATAAACCCATGACCAAAGAAGGAGATGGTATGAAGGATATAAACAGAATGGAGGATGACCAGGGCTGAGAGTGAGAGTCTTTAGATGGGATGGTCACTGAGGAAGTGACCCTTGAGCTGACACTTGAATGGGGAGAAAGAAGCAGCCTTGTAAAGATCAGGGGCAGAAAGCTCCAAGCAGAGGATCAGCAGGTGCAAAGGCCCTGAGGCAGGATGGAGCTGCATACATGAAGAGGAGCAAGGAGGCAGTATGGCTGGAGCCAGGGTGAGAGAAGTGATTCTTATATTGGTCCATCTCTGAGGTCAAAGCAATCATATTACTCCTGGGCCAGAGGTGGTTATGGAACAGTTAAACAGTGGCCTTCCTCCCCCGCTGCTGCTGGGGGACAGAGCAGGCAATGCCTGGGGGTGCAGAACAGCAAGAGAACACATTTTGGCTTTGTACCCCAGCCCTGCCTTATGATCCTCTTCCTCCACATCCAGTCAAACAATTCTGCCAGGAGACCCTGCTTCTAGGGGCACTTCAGTGATTATGGCACCAGGGGAAAAAGTCAGTTTAGGCAGACCAGGTGACCTAAAATTGAGACCAGCTCCACCGTCAATTACATAATTTGGGGCAAGGGATTTTTACCTCTCTGATTTTGTTTTGCATTTGGAATTGGAGATAGGAATGGTCTCCCCACTCCCCTGGGTGGTTGTGAAAATTAAAATATACACTGGGTATGAGACCGTTAACCCAGTATCCAGTAGGTGCTCAGAAAGTGGTAACTATCCCCATTTTTCTTCATCGGCAGAAAGTTTAATTTCTTAAGGTTCACTTTTTTACAGATAATGGAAGAACCAAATAGAAATAATAATACTAGTGATCTAGGAATACACAGTTCCTGTGTAACTTCTGAACTCAGAGCACTTGACGATGGAGAAGTTGAGACATTTTCACCGTGACCACATCAGCCCTGATCCCAGGAACAGACTGGCCTCATGGCAACAGTGGACGATGAGGGGCAGGGTCACAGCCAGGAGAAGAGCAGCCCAGCCCCACTCACTAGAAATACATGGCGTGAGCCACGTGTGTCATTTTAAATTTGCCAGTAGCCACATTAAAAGAGTAAAAAGAAATATGTAAAAGCAATCTTAATAATATATTTTATTAAAGCCACAACATGCAAAGTATCATCATATCCACACAAGATTCAATACACTATTCTATACAGAAGATCTTTCGCAGTCTGTTTTTGTTTTGGGAGGACTTTTTTGGGGCACCGTCTTGGAAATCCAGTGTGCGTTTCCCCCCCCTCACAGCATGTCTCGGTTCAGACTAGCCAGGTTTCGGGTGCCCATTAGCCCATGTGCTTGGCGGTGGCTGAAGCGGAGAGAGTGGCTCAATACTCAGCACGTCTGATCCGTGAGCTAACCTGTCCTGCCCCTGGTGTTGTGTAGTCTCATAGGCTAAAAATGCTTTTGACATACTTAAGTGGTAAAACCAAAACAGGAATATTTTGTGATATGGGAAAATTATGCAAAATTCAAATCTGTATGTCCACAAATAAAGTTTTATTGGAACTCAGCCACATCCCTTTGTTTACGGATCAGCTCTGACCACCTTGCAGTGCTGAGCTGGGCAGTTGTGACAAAGACCATCTGGCCCGCAAAGCTGAAAACATTTACTTTAGCCTCTTAACAGAAAAAGTTTGTGGGCCCATATGTGAGGGAGTAGAGCTCTCCACTCCCCCTTCTCCTCCTGACTCTCGACTTCCAGATCCCTCCAGGAGGAGAGATGGCTTACACAGACTCCACGTGCACGGTGGCTGACCTCTCTGCTGGCCACCATGATTATGTTGGCATTTTAATAAACTGGATTTACTTCATTTCACAGCACACGTTCTATTTCTTGCATCGAAATCCTTCACTAGAAACTCCTAAGCAAAGAATTCTGAAGGAAAGGCCTTAAGGAGAGTCCCCCTGGCCCAGGCGACTCGAGAAAAGACTATGACACTCCCATCCTGGCACGAGGCTGGCGAGGCTAGGAGAGCAGCATCCCTAGGGAAGGGGTACCAGCAACCTGAGCCAGTGGGCTGTTTTCCAGCTGTGAGCTGCAAACAGGTGCCCCCCCCCTTCAGCTCGATATATCCAGCTCCTCTGAGCTAGGCACCAGACACACATCACCACGTAACATCCCTTCACAAGGAGCCAACTCAGAGTTCCTGGTAAGAAAATCCATCTAAAGGGAGGGGTCTGATTGCTCAGGCCCCTCAGCAGGTGAGCAGCCGGCCGAGGCCCGAGCTCCAGCAGTACCCCCTACAGTGACGTCCCATCCTTGCACCAGCCCTGAGGATATACTTTCACTGGGCCGACACTGAGGTACAGAATCCCCTCAGTTCCCATAACAAATCAGTAGCTAAGGAGGTGCCCTGGCCAGACTTTGCTCCCTTGCCAGGGAGAGGCAAGGAAAACAGGTGGGTGGAAGGCAGCCATGTTCCCTGGACTTGGGCTGGGAGTGCGCTTATGTTGAGGGCTGGGGGGTGCAACAGAGATATACAGACTGGACAGGCAGACAGACAAACCCTCATCTGCATCCTCAGTGCCACTGTTAGCTGAATGACATCCAGGACCTCTGAAAGCCTCAGTTTGCTCATCTGTAAAGAGGGGGTATGTACAGACATCACACTGGGATAGCATGAGGATTCAGTAAAAGAACACACAGGCGGTGCCTGGCACATAATGCATGCTCGGGAAATACCGGTTTCCTTATCGTGTCTTTGCTTAGCTCCCTGACAGGTAGCAATCGGTGGGGCTAGAACAAAATGGTGCCAGGCCCTAAGATAAAGAGAGTACAGCATCAAGGTTAATTTAGGTAAAGACTCAGGACAGTGCAGGGCACCGAGTTATAGGTTTGGTAAGTATTAGCTAGCATTTACTATTTTGCTGTTATTACTAAGCCCAGGAAATGCTCCACCCTCCTGAAGAAGTTTATGCAAACAACTCGTAAAGAAGAATGAGCACTAGTGAAGAAACCTCTGCTGAGGCCTCCTGACAAGCAGTCTGGTACAACCACAATGGTGGAAGAATGGTGGGAGTCGCCTCATGTCATTTGTGGGGACGCAAGCTTCCAACACCCAGCCCCAGAAATTCTGCATTACCCCCATCACCAGCTTTTGAACATTTCTGAATAAGACAGATGCAGAACAGAGCCAGTTTGCTGCAGAATGAGGTTAGTAAGCATCAAGCACATCCAGGCAAGAGCGAGGCCATTTTCACCCAGGCGGTCAGGCAGCTGGGCCCCTCCCGCCTCTGTTCCAGGGGTTCGGCCACGAGCTGGGGCCAGAGAAGTCACTGCAAGGATGGGATGCCGTAGCCCGCCGCCTGAGGACAGCTTTATTTATGCTCTTGCAGAATGTACACGCAGGCCTTGTTTTTCTGGATGATTAGGGAGCCAGCTCACATAGCGTCCGTGGTTCTACATTTAGAATTGTGTCTTCATTCACATTCTTTCCACGCAGCTCACAGCTCCTGGACTGGAAGAGAGTGGTCACTTTGCCTGGGCCCAGCCCCTGGAAAGATGCCAGCTCACCTCTGGTCTGGAGCAGGGGCTGAGTTCTCTGGCTGTGCTCTGTGCAGGGGTGGTCCACACCGGTGTGCCCACCATGACCGAGCCAGATGTGGAGACCACGGCACGGGGCAGGTAGGGCACATTCTGGGGGAGACATCTGATTCTACAGCGGTCAGCTGTGGTCAGGCTAGCCAGACGCCCCCCGCCGCCAAGCTCCTGCTCCTAGGCCAGGCTCCTACCGGGTCAACGGTGTTTCATTGTTCTTTCCTGACCCCTCCTGCTGACGCTGACAAAGCTGTCAGCCACTCTCTTGCCCCCAGAAAGTTCCCTGGGTCACCCTTGTGCTTTTCATTTCTCAAGCAGCCACTTCAAGCAAACACCACCAGCTCTGGCCGCACTGCAAAGCTCACCGCTTCTAGGACCCCAAACCAGAGACATGCAGTCAGGCGCTCCACCTGGGAAGAATTAAAAGTAAGCTGGGGAAGGAAGGTGCTGAGGAGCGGGAGGAAAGCAAGTTAGGAGGACCAGGGCCCTGTGGAATGGTTTCAGCTCCTGTTATTCACACCCCAAAGCAAACTCCCCCATAAAATGAGATTTAATGAGGCAGGCTTCACTAAAATCAGGAACAAAATGATTTGGGTCGTGCACAGATAACATGTGAACTGGTGATGAATTTGTTTCAATGCATAACAGGGGAAAAGATGAACTAGAACATCAAACCCATGATTTTGCAGGTACTACTATTTACCATAAAGCTCTGCTTTTTTAAGAAGTCAATTTAAATTTTCCTTACAAAAATATAGTAAGTGATGGTACGGATGGTTGAAGGTGTGGCAAAAATTATAAAAAAAAAATGACTAACATTTGAGAAGATTTGCAATATACAAGCGTATCTGTGTACATGAATTCATTTGATCTTCAACCCAGTAGAACTTAGGCAGTCTGTCCATCTCAAAGATCAGTAAACTGAGGCACGGAGAGGTTAAGTGATTTGGCTGGTGTCAGATAGCTAGGAAATACAAGGGGCCGGGGTTCTGAGTCTTTTGTGTTGTGTTGTGTTGTGTTTTCTTTTGTTTTAATGCTAGCTCACATCTCAAGTTGATTCTTTTCATTGGCCAGGTTGGCTAGTGTTGGTTTTGACAAGCAGGGGAGGTGGTGGGGTGGGTAAAATCAAGGGATTCACTTAGAGCCTCCTACAAACTGTCTCGGAGTACTGATCAGTGAGCAGGTGTCCCTGTAGTCAGGTCCTAAGTTCTCGGGGCAAAAGGTAAGTTTTGAGGTTCCAAGGAGGAAAAAGGGCTGGATAATCCTGCTGGTTGGGGTCTGACCCCTCTAACTGCAGGGCAACAAGGAACTGTTCTTTCTGACTTGGTTCAAACTGAAGTGCATAGACCCGGGTCCCTGTGACCCTGGCCACCAGCAGATTCAAGGCTGGAGGTGGTGCCAGGCCCCGAGTTAGGGCTAGGACACAGGCCATGAGAAGCCCACAGGGGGCGGGGGCGGGGGAGGCAGTCCACAAATAGATACAGAGATACAGTGCAGTGCAGACTTTCAGGGGCTTTGAGCACCTCATATAGCAGGGTGCCTGGTGGGGACCAGCACCTCTGCTTTCCCAGGCCATGGGGCAGGGGAACATGAGAAAGGGCTCTTGGAAACAAAGACAAAAACTCTTGCTTTAAAATCCTCGCAGTGAGCAGGCTGTCACAGGGCCAACTTGGGGAGGGGAAGGAGGGCTCCCAGGGGTTGGAACAGCATGAGCAAAGGCAGAGGGGTTGGAAGATGTCTGGGGGTCTGCAGGCAGTTTGGAGAGCAGGCAACCCCAGGCCAAGATAGAAAGTGGCCATTGGGCCAGCGCCCTCCAGAGCCAGAGAGGGGAGCTCTCAGCTGGCAGGACGAGACCTGTCCACCGGCACTTGGACCTTGCACACCATGGGGCCTGCCACGGCCAGGTTCACCAAGTGGGCACTTACCTTGCCTCTTCCCTGATTATTTCTCATCCTTCTGAAACTCTCCCCCTGAAATCCCAGCCTGGCCTTCCCCCAGCCTGCAGCTGGGCCTGTTATTTTGCTCCAAAAGCACAGCAGAGTGCGGCTCCTTACTCGAGGAATGCAGGCCGCGGTCCTCCGAGGGGATGATGAAACAGGCTATTTCTGCCCCGGGACATCAGCAGGCCTCGGGGCGGGTGCTGGTTCCAAGGCACCCACTACCGTGTTTTTTAACGTTTCCCTAAACAAATGTTTTCCTTCGCACCTTGGGATATTTGTATTTGAATCTAGGTGCTGAAATAGCTTTAAGAAATCATTCTGGATGGAAGCTGGACTCATGGTTAGGGTCCAGCTCAGCGGCGAGCAATTTCTCACTCCCCAAGTTATCTATTACCAGCGGCCGATCTGGATGTAAAAATAGCTGCTGAGGCTGTTTGTTTAATCTGACTGTTACTTGACACCACGCGGGTGTTGCGATGCGGACTGTTTGCCTCTTCCCCACCAAGAACACCATTTGGTTTCCCCCAGCTGGGTCTCTATTTAGGTACGCTTCATGAACGTCCAGTGTCTGGACAACTTCTGGGCACTGATTTTCCCCAGGTGGGCAGGTCTGTGAGAACTAAGAGGTGTGGGTCTTGACTCGGTCCCTGGCTCATCTTTGGACAGCCCAGAGAAGGAGGCAAGACGTTTCGGCGGCCGTGCAGAGCCGGGCTGCTGGAGGACTCAGGGTTCTCTCCGGTTCCGGGCAGGCCTGAAGAGCCAGCAGCTGGGCCACGCGCAGAGCGGAAGGTAGGCTGTCGACGCTTGGCTGGTTTCTGAGCGGAGGCAGGGAGGCTGGAGCTCCCCACAGCAGGGACCTTCGCTCGGGGGGCGGCAGTCGTGGGGATGGAGTTCTGAATCCGGGTGCTGTGCAGGGTGGTGTGAGCCGCCAGGGGCACCCTGGGGGCTGAGGCTCTCCGTGGGCTGGGGGTGCCGTGGGTGCCGGATTTCCGTGTGGAGCAGGAGGGGTATGCTGTACAGAGTGCACGGTACAGTTGTGTGTGACTTTGTCCTTACGTGTATGTGTCAGGGCACTTTGCTCTCACACGGCCGAGCAGACACGAGCCTGTGGGTGGGCCTAGGTCATACATTGCCAAATGGGGGCAACCCCACGGTGACAGGTTCTCAGGCAGGGGACTATCTTGAGACTCCAATGAGGCTAGGCAGGATCCAGACAGCTGTAACAAAGAGGACAATTGGTCACTGGGACGTTCTGGCCGGTGGACTCTGAGAGTATGTGTGTCCTGAGCATGGAGCCCCCCACAGTGTTCTCCCACACGCTGGGGGTCCTCAACCAGACTCATGCTTGGCCAAATCTAAAGTCATATCTTTCTTTTCTCATGGAGAATGGATCACTGAGGAGATAATACTGAATATGTGTGGAAAACTAGATAGCCTTAAAAAATTATTATTTAGGACTTTAAGCCCCTCCCATGGATGTTGATCATGGAAGAGGCCATGTATAAGTTTGGGGGTGGGGGGGGCAAGAACTATATGGGAAATCTCTGTACCTTTCACTAAATTGCTCAGTTTTACTGCAAACCTAAACTTCTCTAGAAAATGGAAACTATTTTTTAAAACTAAATTATAGACCATTTCTTTCAACACATCTAACCCAATTATAATGAGCTCTATTTGAAGTAATATTTTTAAAAACCCGTAAGTATAGGAATCCTAGAGAGTAGATTAAACAAATGTTTGTGTTAAATGAGGTCCAATTTGCCAGCATTTGAGTTCCCTCGCCAACAGTGGTTAGTAAACCACAGCTGTGGGCTGGGCTCCTGGTTTTGTAAATAAAGTTTTATTGGCACACAGCCACACTTGTTCATTTACATTTTGCCCACGGCTACAAAGGCTGAGGCCATCTGGCCCGCAAAAACTAAAGCATTTACTATGCGGCCCTTTACAGAGAAAGTTTGCTGACCTCAACTATACAAGAACACTCCTTGAGATGGGTCAGTCTGGTACCCACACAAAAAAAGCAGGGAAATTTCCAGCTGTTAAAACAGCCTGTAAGCTGGACCCTTCAGGATCAGTAGCTGGCTCAGGAAGCCCGGCCCCTCCTCAGGGCTGGTTTTTCCAGTCTGGCTGGTACAGGAAATGTTCTGTTTGCCACTGGGAGGTTAGCTTTGCTATGGAGTGTGGCCTGGGCTGAGCAGGGCAGATTGTGCTTATCAGGATGGTTTATAAATAGACATCTCCGGGTGACCCAAGTCCAGCGTGCTTCTGCGCCTGGGTCTTTGAGAGGAGAACAATTGTGCCTGCTATTTGGTGGCCAGAAGCTGGTTGGGATGGGAGCAACTGTGACTACTGGGAGGAAAAGGGGCTGGTGGGGTGCTGGGTCCTGGAAACAGGGGCTTGGATCTCCTGGGGACCTGGGGAGACAGGTGTGTGTGGAGGAGACCAGGAAGGCTACAGAGGGCCACCAGTCCTCAGAGGATGAATGCATCCACCCTGGAGTCTCTTCATCAGTATGCAGGCAAGTGTCTTGGCATCTTCTGCTTCTTCGATCCTGACCCTAAGAAGCTTTAGAGACCCTTACAGAAAGGGGAAGCCCCACGTCTGGAAATAGCCCTTTTCCTCCAGCGTCTGCCAGAAATCTCAGTAGCTGACACCTGCCAGCCAGTGGAGACAGGGCTGGGCCATTTTCTTCGTTGTCTCTTGGGATTTCACTCCATCTGCAGAGGGTTACTGGAGAGATGCAAAGGGCTTAAGAGAAGGTGGCCCCCGTGGAGACATCAGAGCTGATATTTCCCAATGGGCTACAGAGGATCTTGGTTTTATTTCCACTTGAAGGTTTAAACCACATTTCACCAAATCCAGCCAATCTGTAACCCTACAACTCAATCGTACATTTCATTCAGTTAGTTGAAAAAATTTGTCAAAATACCTCTTAATTTCTACTTGGTTCCCAGGGATTGCATGATACAAGCTGGTGAGGACAGATGGGGGTGGGGGGGACAAAGGATCTGTCAAGGCACACGGATCAAGACCCAGAAATGGAGAATGTGGAACACTGCTGAGATGGGTCACCCCCAATATAGGTCACCGGTATCATTATTGAACATTCCCTGGAGGCGGCTGCGTGTGTGAGTCATATGTGTCTCCTATTCAAGGTGGAGGGAGAGCATGTTCTCAGTTGACCTCGGCTCTCAGGTGGAAGACTGAAGACCACTTGGTGCAGAGTGCATTCCCTTCCAAGCCTGCATCAGTCAGCCTTGGAGAGCTTGACCACAGAGTCGGAGTGTCTGGGAATCTGACAGCAAGAGGGTCCAAGGAGCCAATCCACCAATAGTAGCTTTCTCCCCAGGACCTGACAGACAGACCTCCCTTTCCTAGTAGGAAAGGGCAAGGGACTCTTCCGGACCACAGCTCGTGAAAGGGGGGAGTAGCTGTGTCCTCCGTTCTCTGCATGGCAGTCCCTCAAGACTCTGGCCCAGAGAAGGTGAGCACAGCACAGATTCCCCAGGGGCCTGGAAGGGCTTCCAAATCCCACAGAGATGCCTGCACGTGCTGCCAGCAGGAGCCCAGGGGCTCTGACACCTGGATGCTATTCCCTGCCTCATTGGGCCCCTCCTGTCCCTGAGGAGCCCTTTCCAGGGAGCTTCGGACGGGCTGCAAGGCTGAGCTACCAGAGGAATTTCATCTCAGCCATGCCTTCGCCTGGAGCTTAAGGCAAGGGGGAGAGGAAATGCCGAGACGTGCTTGAGTGACCCCACTCCCTGCTGACCGCGGAGGCCGGTTTCAGGCCTTGTGCCTCAGGGCCCTGCCTGCCTCATGCTGGAGATGCCCCTGGGTCTGCCCTCTGCAGGGGCAGCCTGGCCACAGGCAGCACCAACAGCTGGTCCCTTCACCTGGCCCTGTCAACCCGTCTCTGAGCCGGGTCAAGCCTAACGGGCGCAGAAGCCAAAAAACCAGAATTCAAACCCACTGGGCTAAAACCACCGACTCAGAGCCACTTCTGTCCCTGTGTGTCCACCATTTTCATCAGGGCCATCCCTGGCTCCCTGACTCCCGTGTGCAGAGCGTTTTCATAGGTTGTCTGGGGTTTACTGCTGGGCTCATCCAGCATGGTAGGTCTGAGGATCTCCTTCGGGAAGGCAGGCACTGCAGCTTAGAGACGTTCAGTAATCTGCCCCAGGATGCACAGCTAATGAGGTGCTAAGATGCAAACCTGGGACCGGAGTCCAAAGTCCATGTCCAAAAGAGTCTCGACAAGGAGGCCAGTCCACGTACAAAGAGTCAAAACCTTCCTCAAAGAAGCCATGCACGCCCAGACAGCCTCCTCCCCTTAGAGCCTCAGAGGGTCCCTGCTGCTCCCGGAGACCCGCGGAGGTGCTCAATAGGGGCTCTGGGGAGGGGCAGATCCAGATTCACAGTCCAGCTCCACCCTTCTTAGCCAGCCCCTGGGCCTCAACTTCTTCCTCTGTAAAATGGGAATACCAACCATTGGGAATCCATCTCAAGGGCTCCTCCATGCATTAACTGAGCAAACATATGAAAAGTACCAGGCACATAATAAATATGACAACTCTTCTCTCAACTGCCCTATTTGTCGGGTTTTTTCTCTCCTGCTTAAACTCCAACGTGGATCTTTCCCTTCCAGAGGTCCCTAAAGAGAAACCCCAATGCTTCAGGGCTCAGCTGACTCATGTTCATCACTCAGCGGTAAAGTAGCTGGCTTCATGGAGGACTGACCCGTCCTCACAGTGACCACTGGACATTCACACGTCATTATTACCTAACCTCATATGCCAAATAGCATTATGGATCTGTACACTGTTAGCACTCGGGGTGGAGGACTCAGCCCGAGAGGGGAAGTGATGTTCCCGCTCACACAGCAACGTGGGCAGGGTCTGGGTGACTCTGTGCCCACCGACATCAGCCAGCACATCCTGCTCTGCCCCACCAGCAACCCTCCAGGGGAAAGAAAGGAGGTTAAAGCTTTACGTAATTTTACCTAATTTAAATTTACCTAACTTTAACTTACATCTCAAGCGCAAGGGTAGGAGTCTAAATTATAACTGAGCGAGGA